CCCTTCTCCTCTATTCTCTTCTCTGGAATAAGGGCACACACAAACGTACCCAGTATGATTTTCCTGCTAGGTCCAGGACCGGAACCACACCTGGCCACGTGCCAACCAGTGCCTTAACCACCACACCACCTGCTGGCCTCAACAAAATCAGTTTTTAATCTCTAAGGTTGGCAAAGATTTATTAAGAAATGAAGGAAGGAAATAAACAAGGTAGACAGCAAGGCCCATTCACACAGTGCTACAAGCAGTACAAACCAATATGGAAAGTTATTTATCACAATTTTTATGTTGACTCAGCAGTTTTCATTGTAAGTGTCCATCCTACAGAAATATTTGCATAAAGATCCAGCCTCTATCCTACAGTGGCAAGTTTAGTGCTTTTCCACGATGGAAGCCACATGCTGACCACAGGTTCAGATCCTTAGCAGCCTGATAATGCTCAAGATCCTGAGCAGCTAGAAGGCTGAGGAAAGAGGGTAACAGCAAGAATAAATTCTGTCAAGGTTGGTTTCTTTGTGTCTTTCATGTGTATGTACACATACTGCCATCTACAAAAAGGAGAAATATTTGTACGAATACCCAACATTGTATTTGAGACCTTCTCTGCAGCACTGTTTATAAAACATGCAAAGTGCTGGAGGCCAGCAAGTGCCATGTTTGTTAAGGCACTAGACTCCCAATGGCTGATCATGGTTCAAGTCTCTGACATGGAAACTTACTTAATCACCTTCTCTCTCTCGCTGGTCAAATTGAATAATAATAATAATAATACACAGAATTAAATAATCAAAAAAAGCTAAAAGAAATAGCAGATGGTATAGTGATTATATCACTGGACTCCCACATGGCTGACCACAGTTCAAGTCCCAAACTCAGTAGTTTGAAAGTCACTCCAGGCACATATGCATGTATGCCCAAGATCCTAGGAGGAGAATGGAGAAGGGATTGTGGCATAGCCATCCCCCACAGGAGGTGATTTCTCACTTTCCCTCTCACTGTGTCTGTCTCTCTCTCTCTCTCTCTCCAGCCAGTGCAAGCATCCTAAGGCAAAAACTTCTAGAGAAATTTTTTTTTTTTAAATTTTAATGGGGCCAGCAGGTGGCGTAGTGGTTAAGGGTGCTGGACTCCCATATGGTTGACCATGATTCAGGTCCCGGACCTGGCAACTTGACTTGCTTTCTCACTTTTCCTCTCTCTTTCTTTCTCACTCTGTTATTCTCTGGTCAAATTTAAATAAATAAATAAATGAAATTTCAATAAAATAATTCTTTAAAAAAAATTTTTTTAAACATGGAAATTTCAGGGCCAGCAGGTGACATGATGGTTAAAGGTGTTAGATTCCCACACGGTTTGAGTCCCAGACCAAGCAGCATGCTTCCTCACTTTCCCTTTCTCTCTCTCTCTCTCTCTGTCTCTGTCTGGGCAAATTAAAATAACAACAACAACAAATGGAATTAATTAAATAAATAAATCTTTTAAAAAAACATGGAAATTGCTGAAATATGCAATATGAGAATGGTTAAATTATGGTGACTGCATATGATATACTATTAAGTTATTTAAAATCACAGGGTATATTTATGTATTCTGACATACTAAGATCACAATAAATAGAAAAAGGCAAGTTGCAAACAGCACGTATCAAAAAGATTCTATTTCTATACTCCAAAAAATCAGTTATCCTTAAATCTTTCTGCATATTTTATATAAATAGAATGCTTTTTTTCTTTTTAAATTTGCTATAGGGCATATGAGAGAGAAGGGATGGGGTGGGAGGAGAGAGAGAATCACTCCCCCCAGGGAGGATGGCCACATTGCAATAATCCCCTTTTCCACCATTCTTCTCCCAAGATTTTGGACATGCATGTGAGCCTGGCGTGTTTTTCAAGCTTCAGGGTCTAAGATTTGAACCGCACAGTTGGTTATGTGATATCCAGTCACCTTAACCAGTACATTACCTAGCTGGCCCCAAGAATGCTTCTCAAAAGTAATTTCTATTACTGAAAAGCCATAATATACAATGGCACATATTTTCAGCATTATTGAAATATATTTCTATGACAGGAAAAGGTCAAAGAGAACCTATGGAATGATTTTTTTTTTTCTTTTAGAGGTTTTTGCTATTGGGCGCATGCGCTTGCCAGAGAGACAGACAGACAGAAAGCGAGACATCATCCCCCAGGGAGGATGGCCATGCCACGATCCCTTGATCCCTTCTCCTCTGTTCTCTCGGGATCTTGGGCACACATGTACACACGTTCAGCATGAGTTTAAGCCACCAGATCCGGGACTCAAATTACTGTTGACTACATGGTAGTCCAGTGACACAGCCATTATGCCAACTGCTGGTCATGGAATGATGGTTTTTTAGGCAACTAAGAATCTCCTAATTTTGCTGTTGGGGTGACAAGTTACTAATTCAAAGCTTTAATAAGGAAGGGGGAACTTTATACTTTATTTTTTTTAATAAGTATTACATTTCAAATGACTTAATTCAAAACTACTGAAGGATACATTGTGAAATGTCTCCTGTAACCCACCTCTCACCAGCTCTCCCCACAGGCAACCATACTACAAGTTAGTATGTATCCTTCAGAAATTATGCACATATAAGCAAATAGTTTCATATTCTTCCTTTACAAACATCTTATGGTCTTTATTTTGTTAATAAAAAGCTAACAACAAATGAGTTTGTATATTTTAAAAATTTCCTAAATATCATATTTTCTAGTCTTAAATTGGCAGTCTCAAGGAAGCAACTTCATGCTTTTATCAAACTTGCTTCTTTCTCAAAGTTGCAGGAATTTTATTTGGGTTTCTAAGGCAGAAAGAAACACCAACCAAGAAAGTATTTAAGAAAAACTACGTATCGTGATATTTATCATGAAAATTCTGTTAGAACAATTTGATACACATTCCTAACCAACGTTAAAGAGTCACAACTGCAGTTTGTCACAGTAAAGCAGGACCTTTAGGACCTGCATGAATGATACTTACTATATGGCTATGTTACTGTACTGTCTTCTATTTGTTGTTCATGCTTTCTCACTTGCTCGTCTCTGCCTGGATTATGAGATTTCAAAAAGTTTGTGGAAAATAGAATTGAAGAATGGGTTTACTTTGGTGCCAAAAAGTGTGAAATCTAGAGGCTGGATAATGGCATAGCAGTTATAAGAAAAGACAACAACAAACTATAAAGTTGACCACACAGAAAGGTCTTCAGTTCACATCTGACATCTAGAGCTGTTCCTGAGTACATCAAGCACACTGCCTATGATCAGAGCCTGGCTGAAGCAGGCACAGATTGTGCTGTTTTCTTCCTCTCACTTGTTTAATGAACAAATTTAATTTTTTTTGATCCATGCATAGTTGTTTCGCAATACTCATTTTTCATGAACATTCTGAAGACTCCTTCATATCTGTCTGGATGGTGCAAAGTTCCCTCACTCAGCACCCTTATACTCCTTCCTTTATTAATGTCTATCACAAAACTCATTTCTGGTTCTCTACGTGGTGACCTTCTTGAAGGCGGAGAGGATGACTTACATGAGTTTTACGTTACTGAGCTCTAGTATGCGGCCTGCCAATATCATACTTCTAGTGCGGCTTCAAATTAAAACTTTACGCCAGAGGTGATAATTGAAAATATAACACCTAAGATTGGAAAAATAAGGTGTCAGCCAAAACAAAAGCACAGAAAACTGAAAAAATACATTCGGGAAAATGGAGATAGTTGTGTGTAACTGAAATGTTTAAAGTAATGAAGGAGGTAAGGGCAGAGATGCTTCCAAGGTAAAGTTCAAAACCCTTCATTTAGTAAGATACATCAGGCTATGGAATGGTGTACCACAGAAGAGGAAAAAATAGAAGCAATACATACTTCAGAAAAACAAACTGGTAGAACTACTATCAAATGTACATAACATAATGTTTAATGATTAAGGAAAGTGTGTATATGTATTTTTTAAATAAAAGATATACCAAGAGGTGAAAATGTTCTCTAACTAGCTTTGGAGCCTTACCTCCAGATATTCCAGCTCTCTTAGCTCTGGTTGTATCCAGTTGCTCGCCAATTTTCTGAATACATCGTGTTCTCCCACACCTCTGTTATCCCCTGTGCTCTGTTCATTGCTAAGAATGCTCTCCTTCAAAATTCAGCTCAACTGCCACTTTCCCAGTAAAGTCCCTATTCTAGGTTAACCTAGGAGCCTCTTCCGCGCTAACCTTTGCTTCCCTGCAGTTCCTTGTTTAGCTCCTCCACTAAAGTCTGACTGATGTGAACTGAGTTTTGTCAACTTTGTATTTCCAGCTTCTTCAGTACTAAATACTGCTACTACTGACGTGTTAGTAGGACAGACCCCGTTTCCTATATAGCCATCAGAACATGTGAAAGCTCAATGGTTTACTTTGCAGAGCGTAAAGCCAGGTTCGCTGACCAGTGGGATCTACAAGTCACGGCAAATAATATAAGCAACTTGGTATAGCTGGTCATGTTGCTACTCCAGCCCAGCTGAGAGAAAGCCTAAACAAAGGCGAGCCGTGGCCTTCAGTTTGCATCAATGCATTCCAAACCTGCCCTTGTTTAGTTTTGTCCCGGACTCCCTCCGCTCAACATGTGGAAGCCGGTAGGGCCAAGGCAGATAGCGTCTCTGCAGGAGCCTGGACTTGCACAAAGAGCTCTAACAACTTTCCAGTTTGATGAATTACGAGGCCTTCGACTGCGCGTGTAAAAGGCGAGATCAGACAGGGGGCTAGGCCTGCCTTACTCAGCATTTCTTGCTCGGCGGGTTTCCAGAACCCTAGGGCTTTGAACTAACGCGGTTACAGACGCCGAAAAGGCGAAGGAAGCGCCAGGGAGGAAGGACTTTGTTCGGAGAGGTCCCCCTTGGGCACACGACCCCAAAGCCCTGTAACGAGCCTTTCCCGTTCCCCCAGCGACAGGGGCCGCCCCACTGATTTGGAAACCCTGAGTTGCCTCGGAACTGCATCGCTCCCGGGCCATGTCCGCTCCAGCTGGAGACTTCCGCACTCTCTGGCTCGCCGGGTGGAAGAAAGGGCTCCAGAAGATTCTACGACTGTCGGGAGCTGCGGCTTGCGCCCACCCCCACAAGGCCCTTCGGCACAGCCCCTCCCAGCCCGAGCGCCCCCGCGCCGTTGCCCAGGAAACCGCGGGGCGGTGGCAGCAGTCGAGAGGGGCGGGACTTCCGGCGGGTGACGCGCCTAGGCTCCGCTACAAAAGACGGCCTGAGCTGCGCACAGCTACGCGCACCTTCCCGCTCCCCCACGCCGGCCTCAGCCCGCTCACCGGTGAGTCGCAGCCTTCACGCTTCCCCACGTCCCTTGGCTGGCACCCCTGGGGAAAACCAGATGGAGCGGGGGTCGGAAGGCGGTTGGTTCCGCGTGGGCGGGAGGGTGGATGGGTCCTTGCAACCACGGTTCTCTTTCTGGAGACCTGGAGTAGTGGCCCGGCGTCCCATCCGCGGACGTAGGGAGCGGGCCCGAACCCCTTCCTGAGCCCCACTCCTCTCCCAGCCTGCGCTCTCCAAGGAGCTGCCGCCTTCGGCGTCCCCTCTGTACGTAACCCCTGGGCCCCTCCGTCCGCGCGCGCTCGTGGTGGGCGACAGCGCGCACGCGCAGAGGGAGGCCGGGGCGAGGGGCTGCGGGAGCCGGACGGAGGCTGTGGCTTTCGCTTTTATTTCCCCTCCCTCTCTTTGTTGAGGGCAGGGCTTCCCCCTCCACCCTTTCGATCCAGGGAGGGAGGGAGAAAGGAAGGAAACCCCAACGGTTGGCGCCAAGTTCAGGGGGGTACCCAACGAACTGTAAACGACTCCGGGCTGAGGGGCGAGAGGGTTCGACCAGGGAAAGTGGAGCCCTGAGCCTTGTGACTGAAAGCACGCCCAAGGGTCGGGGGAGGGGCGCCTGCTGTCGCTGAGGACCCGTTTCCTAAACCGCTCCTCCACGCCGCTGTGCTCACATTTTTTCCTAAGGAGTGTATGGCATTTATCACATTTCTTGAAGGCACTGATACCGTAATAATCGATGGACTGAATCTATTAATGCACCTCGTGATTTCTGCTGTCACCCACCTCTGGGAAAGGGAAACGGGAAGAATCCAGCTGCTAGTCGAGTTAACGTGGTTTGGAGAAGAGCCAGCTGCTAGGAGGCGACTTTTGAATTAGCTCATATTTAATCTGTTAGAATTAACATTTGAGTTATGGCACAAATTGTTACCTTTGTGTGTGTGTGTGTGTGTGTATGTGTGAAGTTAAATGAAGTGTCTTTTAGAACTTATAACTGAATTACAGCAGTAATTATAACCTTTTTTTGTGAAATGTAATGAAGTCAGTGCTCCTAATCAGATTTGGCAAAGAACAGATTGCTTTGCCTTAGCTCTGATTTTACTAATTACAGCTAGAGTTGAAAGCTGGTTAAAATTGCAGTTTTCTTATTTCAGGCTGTAGAAAATGGTGAAAGAAACGACTTACTATGATGTTTTGGGGGTCAAACCCAATGCTACCCAGGAAGAGTTGAAGAAGGCTTACAGGAAACTGGCCTTGAAGTACCACCCTGATAAGAATCCAAATGAAGGCGAGAAGGCAAGTAGTGTAGTACTCAAAAGTATCTGAATAGTTCCTTACCAGGTGTGTAGCCTTTTTGTTACCACCTGAAATTGGGTATGACTAATATATTGGCTGTGCTTTGAAAGAATATTTGTTTCGGAAAATATGAAATTTACTCCTGTTTTTTCAAACAGTTTAAACAGATTTCTCAAGCTTATGAAGTTCTCTCTGATGCGAAGAAAAGGGAATTATATGACAAAGGAGGAGAGCAGGCAATTAAAGAGGGTGGAGCAGGTGGTGGTTTTGGCTCCCCAATGGACATCTTTGATATGTTTTTTGGAGGAGGAGGAAGGATGCAGAGAGAAAGAAGAGGTAAGGATAATCTTGTCCATATAGAGTAAATTTAGTGTAGCTGTTACTCAAAGCAAATTTTTGAGAACTCGCTTAAAAATGCTTGTTTACATGTTAATATAAGGTCTTACACTGATAGACTTTCTCTATTTGGTTTATGGTGAAGGTTTTTGTGTTTTTTTTTTTTAAATTAGCTAAGCCAGTGAAGTGGTAACAAATGGAGTACTTACAAAGCTCTTGGATATATCCAGCTTGCTAGGTTGGAACATAAGTGAACAAAATATAACAAATTTCAAAGCCCGTTTTACAGAACTACTTGACACCCACCCTCACCCCACCTCCACCCCCCCTACCCAGTTGGTAGATATCAGTGACCTTTTTCAGTTAAGGGTTAATTAAAGTTCAGAAACTTAAAACTTACTGAAGTTTGTATAGCAAGCCAACAGTAGAGCCAGGTCTGAAAAGAGGTTCATTGCCTCCAAATGACCCACTGCCTACCTACCAACTTTTGCCTCAGCTTTATTAAATCAAAATTATGCATTGTAAAAAAAATTATGCATTGTATATTTAGTAGAAAGTGGACTATGGGCTGTAGAAATACTTATTCAGCTGAATAGTGTTTTCCAGATGAGAGAAGTTGGTCTCATTTTGTTCTTAGTATAGTTATACAAACAAGAGCTGATCAGGTACACTTTGTTTTAGAATGAATAGGCAAGCCACTAAATTACACTCTGAGCTTTCTAGATGTTCAGAGAAACTTTGAAAACTATTTACTAAGCCTTTCTTAAGAGGTCTTAAAGGAATTATTATTTTAAGGAATCACTCTAAAAAAATCTGCAATCAATTCACTTGTATAGTAAATCAGTAGTATGCTTTGTTCTGCAGAGAAGTGGTGGTTTTTTTGTTTTTTAAAGAACCAGCCTAGAAGTTAGTTGGCAGCCTAGAGGTTAGCAGTTGACGAGCTCTGCTGTGGTGTAGATCAATGAGAAATTGTTTTTAATTTTCTTTTCCTTTGTGAGAAGAGCAGTTTTTAGCAAGTCAGAACCATGTGGGGTGTTACACAGATCTCAAAGGCAGAACTAGGAGCAGAACAATACAATTAATGATAGAAGTAAAAGTGTTTATTGAGCATATTGTATGGAAAGGAGTTTGAGAACTTTTTTTTGGTTATGCCTAAGAGTACCGCTTCATGGAAAATGAAATCTTTGTGGAAAGCTCACTAGCCTAGGAACTTAATAACTAAGCATCAGGTGGTGACTTTGATTTCTGTGGCCTGTATCCTTTTATGATCTCAGCTTCACTTCCCAGTCTTAAGATTTAAGTGGAGTATGGCACTCTTAGTAGCCTTTGGCCATATGTGGCTTTTTTTAAAATTTATTATGGAAAATATAAAAATTCAGTGCCTTGGATGTTTGTGTTTGAAACACTGTAGAACTGATGGCTGCTGTGTTGGATAACACAACTACAAATTGTTTTGTTCCCCTCATTGCCGAAAGTTGTGTTGGACAATCCTGTGGTGAAGGGCATAAGAAATTTGGTCTTAAAAAAAAAAAATCAGTGCTGGACCAGGAGTAAATATGCTGTTTCTATTGGATCAGGAAGAAGTACGAATTGATAGTCTATGATGGTGATTCAGTGAATACACTGGTTTCCCCAGCCAGACTTGATAAGTAGGAATTTGTTGTGCTAAAGAATTTCTGGATGAAGTAACTGGCCATATTGCTCAATACCATACTAAGTGACCACTTCAAAGGATGTATTGGGATAGAAATGCATGTTTGGATTACTTATTGTGAAATGTGACTATTTAAATACCATGGTTTTTTCAGGTGGTTTGCAAGTAATGTCTTTATTTGGCATGTTTCTAAAAGGGCCATATCTGTCCATAGGCAGTAGTCTTAATCTGCAACCCAGTTCTCTTCATCTGTAATTAAATCACAGTTTGAGTATCATATGTGATAGTATACTGAACATTCTGTTCATAAAGTGGGTGCTCAGTAGAAGTACCCTGAAGGCTCATCTTTTATCATGTTTTTCATGGTGCTTTCGATGTAAATACAATGCAGTATCTTAGATTTTTAATGAGTAATATTTTGTTCTAGGTAAAAATGTTGTACATCAGCTGTCAGTAACCTTAGAAGATTTATATAATGGTGCAACAAGAAAACTGGCCCTGCAAAAGAATGTGATTTGTGACAAATGTGAAGGTATAGTACTATAGTGTTCTAATATCTTTAATATAACTGAAAAAGGAGCTCTGGGCTTTCTGGAAACATAAAACTGACATATATTCTACTAAAATCTTGGGAGAGTGCGAACATCGAGAAAACCACCTGAGGTTGCCACCCAGAAGAAATATTAGTAAAATATTAGCTCTTGTTCTGTGTGTATTTTAAATGCAGTTGGGATCAAATTTGTAAAGCAGTCAATAGAACTGTGCTTTGAGAGTACTTGTTTAAAATGCAGGATTTTTAAATGGCTCCTTATCAAATAAAGTCTTGAGCTGTACATTCTTAGGGTATTATTCCCTCAGACCTTGGAAATAGAGAATTCAGGAACTGATTTAAAATATGCATTAATGTATTTGCTGTAATTTTGTCTTAAACTCTTTAGGCCGAGGTGGTAAGAAAGGAGCAGTAGAGTGCTGTCCCAATTGCCGAGGTACTGGAATGCAAATAAGAATTCATCAGATAGGACCTGGAATGGTTCAGCAAATACAGTCTGTATGCATGGAGTGCCAAGGCCATGGAGAGCGGATCAGTCCTAAAGATAGATGTAAAAGTTGCAATGGAAGGAAGATAGTTCGAGAGAAGAAGATTCTAGAAGTTCATATTGACAAAGGTGGGTTCTGAGCTGACACTTGTCGTTCTTGAGTTTTATGGCATGTTTATTACTACTACATTTAATATAAAGAATGGGATCAGCTTTCTGACATAAGTGGCAGTGTATATGATTTGAGTAGTCTCAAACTTGATTCTCTCCTGTTAAACCATATTCTTCCACCTTTTAGAAAATGACAGTTAAATGTTTACAGTTACTGTTAGTTACTTTTTAAAAGTTTTTAATTGGCTAAAGGATGTGTGTACTCAGTGGAGAGAGAGAAAGCAAGCATTCCCCCTGGGGATGTGGCCATGCTGCAGTCCCTTCTCCAGAGTCTTCTCTCGGGATTTTGGGTATGTGTGCACAAATCTTTAAGCTACCATGTCTTGTACTTGAATGGCATATCTGGCTATTTGGAATCCAGCACTTTAACCTTCATGCCACCTGCTAACCCCTGGATATACATACTTTTAAAAGGGCTTGGGGAGGTGAAAAATGAGGTCCCACTGAAATTTTACACTTTTTAAACTAATGAACATGTTTAAATATGCTTATTTGTCCACTTTTTAATTGGCATACATGCCTTTTATCATATTAAAATGACATACTTGGACTGGCCACAGGGACAGGACCAGTTCTAGTCTCCAACTCTGTGGCTTGGGAAACACACTTGGCACATATATGAGCATACCCAAAATCCTGAAATGATGGGAGAAATGGAGAAGGGATTGAGATGTGACCATGCCCCAGTTGCTAGAGGGTACTCTCTCTCTAGAAAGTGTACACATACCCTCTGGCAAATTAAAAAATAATTTTTAAAAGTTTTGCCTAGTTGATTTGTAAGAGCTTAGGTTATTTTTATGTTGTGTGTGAGAATTTATATGCACTGCAGACTTGTGATTTTTACTTGGTTTGAGGTTATAAATGAATGGAACTTTCCTGCAGTATTTTTAGGATTTGGTTATTTTGTCAATGTCTCTTTACCTTTTGTCAGTTAAAAATGTTTTAAAAAGTGTCAACAGCAGTATGTATTCATTGTAGAAATCTTAGGTATGTAACTCCTGAGAAAAGTAGTTTCTAATTCCACTCTGAATAATGTTAGGTAATACTCTAAACTTTACTCTTCTAAAATGAAACTATTACGTTGTATATACTAGTCTGGAAGTGTTAACTATAAACATCTTTTTAAGATACTGCTATAGTATTCAGTCATGTGAATCTCACTAGTTAGTACTCCCCTCTTTTCCTCCCAAGAAAGTCTTCCCCTCCCCCCACCCCTCTTCTGGTAAGATGTCCTCTCAACTACCAAAAAACATGGACATCGTGTTTTTGGAGCACATCATGTGCAAGTGAGGCCATTTATGCTGTTTATCCTTTTTACAGTAATATGGAACAACCAGGAAAATCTAGTGAGGTTTCATTGTTTTCACTAGTGGAATGAGTTACTTTACCTACAACCATTCAGGACAGGTTGTTTAATTTTGCCATTGTATAATACTTACATTGTGATCTTAAGTCTTTAAGAGGTATATTCTGAAGTGTTAGGATTAATGAATGTAGTTACATTTTGCCTCAAAATATGAGGTAGGATGTGGGTGGTGGTGTAATACATGAAATATTAATCAAGAGTTAAGTGCTGAATATAGATTGATGGAAATACAGGAATTAACTGTGCTATTGGTTATGATTTGGGTGTAATACTTTCCATACTAAGAAATAAAAACAGTTGCTCATGTTGGATGACATCAGTGGTCATTTGTTTAGGAAATGGAAGATACTGCTACAGTGTGGTAATCTGTAAACACAGGCTTTCTTTTTTTCTTTTAAATTGCCAGAGGACATGATGCAACTGTCAGGGGGAGAGGGAGGGATAAAGCACTGCCTAGTAGAGCATAGTCACACTGCAATCTCGTCTCCATTTCTCCATCTTGTCAGTATTTGGGTCAGGATTTAAGTTGGAGTCAGCCATGGGGGATCTGGTTTCCCTAACCATTAGCCTAGAGTTGGCCCTACTGACGTGGGTTTTATTAGGTGAGTTGTGTTTAAAACTTGTCCAAGCTCTTACTGAACTAAGTAATATTCAGAGCAAAGCTAGGAGGGTGAAGAATCTCAGTTAAATGTGTTGGCCTCCTAAGATTTTTTGCTCTATAGGAAAGTACTCTTGTATTTTGGGGCTAATGAAGTATCTAGCACTGATTATCTTTTTGTTTTTTCTTCATCCCATGAGCTAGATACAGGCACTCCCAACAAGGTCTTTGTCATGATTTACCCCTCTCTCAGCCAGTCTAGATGACAGACAAATGTGGATTGCTCATGTCCCATCTCCTATGCTCAGGGAGATTCCAGAACGTGACTCCAGGACCAAATTTGCTATGTGGGTCCAGTTGCATTATCACCATACTACTATACTACCTGGCCCCTGAAGATCCTTTTGTTTTTTTGCTTTTAATTGTCAGAGGGCATGTGCTTTTACCAGAGTGACAGAAAGAGAAAACAGCCCCCTGTATAGGGCATAGGCACACTGCAATCCTTTCTCCTCCATTTGTCCCTCCCATCATGATTTTGGGCACATGTGCCTGTCATGTTTTTCAAGTCCGTAGTGCAGGGGTTCAGATCACTCTTGGTCATCTGCCCAGCACTTAACCACTGCTCTGTGGGCTGGCCCTATCCTTTTTTTTTGGTGGGGGGGGTGGGGCAAGAACTTAAAGTAATTAAATTGTTTTTTGAATTACAGTTCACATTTATTTAGAATGTTTGCTAGTCTGATTTGATGCCAGCATAGTCTTTTTTTTTATTGTTCGTCGGCTGTTTTTTTTTTTTTTTTTTTTTTTTTTTTTTTTTTTTCCCCTCATCCTTTGAACAGCCCTAATGAGGTAGGGCTCTCTGGGAAAGTTGTGACTTGATACGGTTATACAACTTTCTTTCCCAGGGTTATCTAGCCAGTAAATAGGAGCTCAGAGATTTGAAGCTTGGTCCATTTACCTCTAGAGTTTGTTCTCCACTATCATAGCTTTCTTCAGTAGCAAGTTGGACTGAGCTAGTTAAGTGAGCTTTCTTAGTCATGTCTGAGAATAACATTTTGGGTTTCATGCACACAAACATCTACACATGTCTTAGTAGATACTGTGTTATCCAGATTTTAGTAGGATATTCAGTAAGAATACTAAATTAATCTTTTGTTTTCAGGCATGAAAGATGGCCAGAAGATAACATTCCATGGTGAAGGAGACCAAGAACCAGGACTGGAGCCAGGAGATATTATCATTGTACTAGATCAGAAAGATCATGCTGTTTTTACTCGGTAAAGACTTTAATCAAGCTTGTCAAACTGCCATCTTGATATTTGGAGTGGAGTATCTTCTTTTTCTTTTAATTTAAATAAACTTTCCATTACTCTCAGAACATAATTCCTGGAAGTGATGCTAGGAAAGAATAGCAGGAGGGTTAGGCTGTGTATAAGGGTTAACCATTGATGTGTCAATTGGTTGTATTTTTTTCAGTCTTAAGAAAGTCAATAGCCAGTACAGTGGAGCCTACACGGTAAGCTCCCAGTTCTCCAGAGGCTGAGGCAGGAGGATTAAGTTTGAAGCCAGCCTGGGCTACATAACAAGACAAGATTTCTTGAAAAATAAACTAGCATTTTGTTTCAGAGTAAGAGTTATCTATAAAACTTCCAAAAACTGTATTTCAACTAGATGTTTCATATGAGTATAAACAGGTACCGGGGGCTGTGAGAAAGGTCCCTAGAAAAATTTTTGCCCTTAATCTTGGGTTGTCTTTTTCTTTTGGGGGGGTGGGGGGTGGGGCGGGGATTTCTTTTTTTAGCTGTAGGGCACGTGTGCTTACCAGAGACACAGAAAGTGGAAAATCATCCGCCAGGGGGATGGCCACACTACAATCCCTTCTCCATTTGTCTTTCAGGATCTTGGGGACACACACACACACACGCCTGGCATGAGTTTAAGCCACTGGGTCCAGGACTCAAACCATGGTCAACTACATGAGAGTTCAATGACATAGCCATTACTCCATCTGCGGTCTCCCGCCTTTAATTTTTTTTTTCTTTTTTTTGGAGAGGTTTTCGCTATAGGGTGCGTGTGCTCAACAGACAGACAGACACCAAAAGCAACAAATCCCCCCCCCCCCCGGGGGGGATGGTCACGCCGCAATCCCTTCTCTCGGGATCTTGGGCACGCACGCACACACACGCACCCGGCATGAGTTTTAAGTCACCGGGTCTGAAACTTGAACCGCGGTCGACTACAAGGGAGTCCAGCGACATAGCCATTACACTAACTGCTGATCCCCCCGCTAATTTAATCTTTAACTGTTACTTTTAGTGCTATAACTTTTAAATTTTGAGTTTGTGCCAACTTAAATTAAGTTGCTTATATAAATACCTGAACTCTAAAAGAAACTAAAACATAAACTCAGTGTATATGAATTTAGTTATATACTATTCTGAAACACTTCGTACTGAGTTTATGATGAACCTCCACTAGAACACAAGGATGGGAACCAGCAAAAACCCCTCCAAGAAAGAAAAAACACAAGGGTGGCTGACAGAGTTTGTGTTAAGTTTATTATGTATGACTGTCATTAAGAATAATGGACTGGAATTGGGACAACATCTTGAAAAAATTTTTATTTATAATGGAATATTTAACAAATACTTCAAAACTGATGGGAAATATGGTGATATAAGGTGAATCCTCAGAAGAGTTTTTCCTAGTGTGTAATTTTCCTGATTAAATGTTTTAACAGGATCAGAAAAATAGAATGTCTAAGCACAAGGAGGAGAAAGCACATTATTGCATGTAAACGATGGTGTTTACTCAGTGTGCCAGAAACTTTTACATCAATAAAATTCTCAAAATCCTTTGGAATTGGTTATATCCCTATTAAATCACAAGATTCATGTCTGTTCGACTTACACTATAATCTCCTCTTATCTCTAATATTTAATGTTTTTCTAAGCCTTACTCTTTTAAGAACTTTTTGTTTGTTTTTCAAATAGAGATTTTTGCTATAGGGCGTGTGCGCTTGCCAGAGAGAAAGTGAGAAATCGCCTCACCCCACCCCACCCGCGGGTGGGATGGCCACACCGCAATCTCTTCTCCACTTTCCTCAGGATTTGGGCATGCACCCATGAGTTTTAAGCCACCAGGTCTGGGAATCGATCTGCAGTAGACTGGAAGCCCAGCGACGTAACCATTAATACCATCTGCTGGTCTCTTTTTAAGAATTTTTTTCTTCCTCCTCAGATAAAACATTTACAATTAAGGAATGAAACAAGAGGTTGTAAGTAGAAGCTGCCTAGAGTACATGAATACAGTTTTAAAGCTTTGTCTATGAAAGAGGTCTAGCAGGCTCTGAATATTTGCTGTTCCCAGCTCTCAGTTTTAGAATGGGGAAATAAAATAGACCCTTGTAAAGACGTTTTTGCTGTTAAACAAATTGCCTGTGGTGGTGCTTGTAATCACTAGTGATTTAAAAGATGTAAATATACAACATATTTGCATTGATACAGGCGAGGAGAAGACCTTTTCATGTGTATGGACATACAGCTGGTTGAAGCATTGTGTGGCTTCCAGAAGCCAATTTCCACACTGGACAACCGAACCATAGTCATCACCTCTCACCCGGGTATGATAACTAGGGAAGCTCTTTTTTTTGTTTGTTAACTAGGATGGGCACTGACAGAAAAAAGTGTTTTTATACCTCAATTACATATCCCCTGGGCAGAGATGAAGTGATAGGTCTTGACTCTTCACTCCCATCAGTGAGTTAGGAGATTGTATTTTCCTGCCTGGTAAAAATGACCAAATTTGAGAACATGGTTTCAATGGTTATTTTTAGGTCAGATTGTCAAGCATGGAGATATCAAGTGTGTGTTAAATGAAGGCATGCCAATTTATCGTAGACCATATGAAAAGGGTCGCCTAATCATTGAATTTAAGGTAAGCCATAAAGTACTCAGTATTTGAGAATGATTAACTTACTAAAAATCAGAGAATTACATTCATTGAATGTCAAGAAACTGAATTTGTATTCATTGTCTAGGAAGAAATAAACTGATCTAATTCTACTCCTGTCCTGTTGAACATTTTCTTAAGTTGGGGTTCAATTTTTTTGCATCATTAATCAGTTGGGGAGGTGCATGGCAAGTTGGTTTTTAATTGATGAAAGGCTATAACTGCGTCTTAAAGTTAAGCAGTAGCACTTTAGCTATTGTAGGTTTCTGGGCAAAATATTGTAATACTAGGATTGTTAATGGAGTGTTAATATAATGCAACCCTGCTGTTTTTCTCAACCTTAAATTGGCTTCTCACCATAAATAAAACAATTGGGTAAGAAAGGACTACCTTAAGTAAGAATAAGCTGTATTTTAATTCTTTTAACAGGGATTAGTCTCTTTTGGGATTAGGTCTTTCTAAAAATCTACGACATAGAACAGTGGTATGTGGTTTTCTGGGAAGAATGGATCCATGGTACTTTATCTAAAAAGCTAATGATGAAATAAAGAGTGGAAATTTTTTTGTAGGTGAACTTCCCTGAGAATGGCTTTCTGTCTCCTGATAAACTCTCTTTGCTGGAAAAACTCCTACCTGAAAGAAAGGAAGTAGAAGAGACCGATGAAATGGACCAGGTAGAACTGGTGGACTTTGATCCAAATCAGGAAAGACGGCGCCATTACAATGGAGAAGCATATGAGGATGATGAACATCATCCCCGAGGTGGTGTTCAGTGTCAGACCTCTTAATGGGGCCAGTGAATAACACTGCTAGCATTTTATATGCAGTAGTGAATGAGTGAAGGACTGTAATCATAATATGCTCACTACTTGCTATTGTTTTTGTTTTAATATTCATCTATAGTAGTGTTTTAAAAAGTTAAATGAAGAATAAATGCAAATATAAAAGCTGACTTTGCCCTGTATGTATGATGACTTCAGTGTGCAAGATACAGTTTTAATAGCTGTAAAAACTACAAAGTTCCCCTAGCATTTGTTAGGCCATTCCTTGTAATTGATTTCAGCTATGTACATGGATGAGCTTAGACTGAAATGCTAGATATATGTATTGACTTCAGTGTATGATCCCTCATTGTCAAGCTATGAAATTAAAATCCTGTATATAACTGGTAATCAGAAGGAGAAAAAAATTTGTAGGAAAGTGTGTGATGGTCTGTATAGTTATTTGTATTAAGTGAGACTCATTGTGATGTCTCTGCGTCTATTCTATTGCCTCAACTTGAAGATGGATGGCATAATATAATTTAGCCTGTGGCATCAGTGATAGAAATGATACCTTTCTAAAGGGGTTTATCATAATGGGCTGCTTCTTGAGGGCTTACACCTCTAGAACTGCATTCCCTTCTGTTGTGCCATCTTTTTTTTTTTCTTAGTATACATATATAAAAATATATTATATATATGTATGTATATGTGACCAGTCCTGGTTACTCCCAACTCCCCCACTCCCCTTCTCTTTGGACCATGAAAAGCCCCCAAGTAGTGACTTCTGGAGCTGGGTAACTTACAAAGTGAAACAACCTTTACATGGAGAAGTAATTTGCATGTGTGGTATAGAAAGGTGTTATTAGGTATTACAGATTTACTTTAAACCATTTAACTTATGCTCCAAAGTAACTGTAATTTGATGTTGGTAGGATAGCAGATTATGAATAGCTTTAATTGTATGTTATAAAGTCATATGTTCACATGCTTAAATCTGGATTAACAGAATTTAAGCAATTCTTGAAATGTATGAATGTCTCCTTAATATACTGATTACAAAGCATTTCCAGTGTGTCACTACAGGCCTTTTTTTTCCCCCAGATCATCAGAGCATTATTTTTGTTTTTAACTAAGATATATAATGTTCCATTTCACATAGTTAAGATGAAAAGTATCCCCCCAAAAATACCCATTGAATGAACCATAATTGAATGTTTAATATTAAGCAAGGGTGGGGAAGGAAATTGGAGGGAGGGGTTAAGAAGAAGTAACTTAGATAACCTGGGATGAAAGTACATGACAGTTTCTTTCAAGAGTCAGCCAGGTCAGTGATCCACCCGAGATAAGGAGCATGCACATGTCAGGTGTACTTAAGGTTGTCACTGAATCTTTCCATGTGAATCGGCCTCGCAGCATTTATTGCTGCATCACCTTCCAGCTCTAGGGGAAGCTTTTTGCCTAGATAGTATGTCTGGTTTTGCTGCTTCTAGTGTAATCGTGAAACTTAAACATTTCCAAGTTCAAAGTGACTAATATCCTGTTTCCCTTAAAGAGAACACATAAAAAGAAACAAATTTTGTGTACAAAACAATTTCCAAGTGTTGGGACCAGCAGTTGGCGTAACAACTATGTTGCTGGACTCCATGTAGTCGACCGTGGTTTGAGTCCCAGACCTGGTGGCTTAAATTCATGCCAGGAGCATGTTCATGCATGCCCAAGATCCTAAGAGAAGAGATTACAGCGTGGCCATCCCCCCCGGGGGGTGGTGATTCCTTGCTTTCTGTCTCTGGTGAGCGCACGCATCTGATAGCAAAAACCTCTCAAAAGAACAATCCCAAGTGTTTGTCATAGCGACATTCCTAGTTGACAGCTTTCAGTTCTTGAAAAGTTGACCATAGGATTGAAAAGGAACTCATGTCAGTGTTTATTTCATAGTCAAAGTGAAAACAAACTCCATCCACAAATGAATAGTTAAGAAGTATGTGTGTATTTCAGTTTTTGACATAATTTACATTGATATGTATGTACAAAGTGGGACATCAGCCCTAAAAAGTTTGTTTTATGGGTGGGGGAAGGTTTTTGCTATAGGGTGCGTGTGCTCGCCAGACAGAGACAGCAAGAAATCACACACACACCCCCCAGGGGGGATGGCCATGCTGCAATCCCTTCTCCAATCTCCTCTTGGGATCTTGGGCATGCACGCACATGCGCCCGCCATGAGTTTAAGCCACCCGGCCCGGGCTGCACACCACAGTTGGGTACATGGGAGTCCAGCAACATAGCCATTGTGCTAACTGCTGGTCCCGAGCCCTAAAAAGTTTTGGTACATTCTACAAGAATGAACCAATTTATGCCAAGTGAAATACATACGGCTGACACAGGACAAATGTACGATTTCACTTAGATGAACAAATTGTAGGACTTAAATAGAGATTTACTGGAGAAGAGAGTAAATTGTGGAGAGAAGTTAATTCCCAGTGGTTACAATTTCTATGGTGGTGCAATGTATATAACATAATACACTGGTTAATTGGTAATTGTTAAAATGAAAGATGTTACATAGATTTCAAAAGGTTTGTAGAAAAATGGAATAAAAGTATAGTAGTTAATGGGCCAACCTTTTAGGCTAGTGATTAAAGAAGTTGGAACTCATAAGGCTAAATTAACCATGGTTTACATCCCAGCCTCAGCTTGGAAAGATACCAAGTATATGTGCATACCTCTAGAATCCCAACAAAATGGAGAGAAAGGAATATAGTGTGACTATGCCCCATTGAGAGGTGTTTGCTCTTCCCCTTGCAAGTACACATGCCCTCTGGCAAGAAAATTTAAAAATCACTGGTCTAGCCCAAGTGGAAAGTGACAGCAAAGACTAATCCTGGGAACCAGCTGTTAGTGTAATGGCTATGTCGCTGGACTCCCACGTAGTAGACCACGGTTCGCACCCCGGACCCAGCTGCTTAAAACTCAAGTCGGGCACGTGTGCGTGCGTGCCCAAGATCCCAAGAGGAGAATGGAGGAGAAGGGATTGCGGCGTGGCCATCCCCCCTGGCGGCTGATTTCTCATTTTCTGTCTGTCTGTCTGTCTGGCGAGCGCACGCGCCCTATAGC